TGGGCAGAGGAGAACAGGATTATCCCTGCAACGAGGGAGCATTCGTAATAAATTGCCTTGGTCTCTTCCCTTCTCTCAGAAAAGCACTTTTTCTCACATCGCTGGCGAAAAGCATCCAGAGGTCCCAGCGGCATCTGGCCATCTCTGGGGCTTCGGAGGGAGGAGGCCCAGGCTCTTTGAACGGTGCCAGTGCCCAACCATCCCGTACATCCTGAGTGATGACGGGGCGCCAGCATGGCCTTTGAACTGCAGAAATGGAAGCAGCAACAGGCTGCCGGGGGTAGGCACGTGAGTCAGCAGGTAGGGGCAGGCCTGCTTGACATCTCAGCAGGGAGGTGGCCTCTCCTTCACTCCTTTGGGAGTCACTTCTGTCCTACAGCTTTGCATAGAAGGGCTCACCTGGAGTGAGAGGATGCCTCTCTCCTTGAGCAAGCCTGGCCCTGCCAAAAGCTGAGCTTGACCTTTTCTAGGACAGGCCCCTTTACATATTGCTGACGCCAGGCCCCAGGCTTCCAGCTCGGCTTTCCCTGCGACCTGTCTTAGCTGTTGCTTTGGGCCAGGCTGGGCTTCACAAGAGAGGCGGGGTGGGGTTCTGAGCCAGGGAACAGTGAAAAGGCTTCAGAAACCAAGGCATGGCCAATCTGATCCAGGAACATCTGCCCCCGCCCATGCCCATTAACCCTTTTTGGCACCAGAGTAGCTTTAGCCTACTAAGCCTCTCCCCCACCCCCACTCCAAGAGAGGTAAAGTTTGCGGGTAGGACCGGGAGGGGTAAGTGGGTGGGGAGAGTGGACGGAGCTATGAGGGAGGCAGCTGTGATGACTGACGCAGAAAGAGCAGGGTTTCCAGGCAGAGGGGTCTTTCGGAGCAACTCACGTCTCTTCCTGGGGCCTTCATTTCGTCATCAACAAAATGGAATTAGGAGGAGTACGTGGCCAGCACATTTTAGAGGATCGTCACAGGTAAATGAGAGAGAGAAGGAACTTTCCAAACTGTCAAGGTTAAGTAAGTGTTAGTGGGTCCCTTGACCACTGTCACTTTAGGAGTTTTCAACGTGGAGCCTGAATCTGGAGGATTTATGGGGCGCCTAAAATAATGTGTAAAATGCACGTGCGACCTCTTGAGAAGCACGAATCAGTTTCTCAAAGAAGTCAGGGACCCAACAAAGTTTAAGATCCAGACACGGCCCAAGTCCGTCCTTCTCCGATGAGTCAGCTGACTCCCAAGGTCACACAGCTTGTCAGAGGCAGAGCCAGGATGTGGGGCCCTCGTCTCTGCCCTTCTTCCGGGATTAACCATTGCCCCTCCCATATGGGATGAGGGGGAAAATGCTTGAAGGCAGCAAGGGTGGGGAGAAAAGCCAGACAAAGAGCCCCCAGCCCTACTGGGAGCCAACATCCCCACTCAGGGTTTCCAGAGGTAGGCGAATGGGAAGAGACAGGAGAATGAGGAGGCTCCAAGGATACGGCAGGCCCTTCCTGGAAGCCCAAATTTCAGAGTAAATGAGTCATCCTCCCTTTCCCGTAAAAGACTCAGAGGAAACAACTCTGTCTCTAACATTGTCTCGAGATGACTTTTCTGGTTCTGTTTTCTTTTCAGGAAAAAAAAAAAAAAATGGAGGGATGAGTAGTGGGCAGGAACAGCTCTGTGGAACACAACTGGCAGGTGGGGATTCAGAGCAGACACCATGTCAAAGCTTTATGGAAAAACGGCCGGGCAGTGCTCATGCTTGTCATCCTAGCACTTTGGGAGGCCAAGGCGGGAGTATTGCTTGAGGCCAGGAGTCTGAGGCCAGCATGGGCAACATAGTGAGACTCTGTCTGTACAATAAAATAAAATATTTAAAAAGTATGAAGTAGGGCTGGGTGTGGTGGCTGATGCCTGTAATCCCAACACTTTGGGAGGCTGAGGCGGGTAGATCACAAGGTCAAGAGATGGTGACCATCCTGGCCAACATGGTGAAACCCTGTCTCTACTAAAAATACAAAAATTAGTTGAGTGTCGGGGGGCATGCACCTGCAGTCCCAGCTACTTGGGAGGCTGAGGCAGGAGAATCGCTTGAACCTGGGAGGCAGAGGTTGCAGTGAGCCGAGATCGTGCCACTGCACTCCAGCCTGGCAACAGAGCAAGACTCTGTCTAAAAAAAATTATAGGCTGGGCGCGGTGGCTCAAGCCTGTAATCCCAGCACTTTGGGAGGCCGAGGCGGGTGGATCACGAGATCAAGAGATCGAGACCATCCTGGTCAACATGGTGAAACCCCGTCTCTACTAAAAATACAAAAAATTAGCTGGGCATGGTGGCGCGTGCCTGTAATCCCAGCTACTCAGGAGGCTGAGGCAGGAGAATTGCCTGAACCCAGGAGGCGGAGGTTGCGGTGAGCTGAGATCGCGCCATTGCACTCCAGCCTGGGCAGCAAGAGCGAAACTCCGTCTCAAAAAATAAATAAATAAATAAATAAATAAATAAAATTATAAAGTTAAGATGGCCTTTAAAAAAAAAAAACTTCTGGAAAACTGTGATGGGCCACACACAGGTAGTCATCACCCAAAGAGGCCATTTGCTGACCAACTTCTGAGTGCTAGGCACATCCTGGATGCTTTGCCTAAATCAGTATAAATGTCACCACCACAAGAGGCCTTCCCTGACCACCCTGTTAAAGTAAACCCACTCCTCTCCCCACCTGCCAGTTATTCTCTCACGTTCCCTGTTCCTTTCCTTCTTCCTACTTGTAATTTATGTTTTTGTGTGCTCTTTTTCAATCCTCTCTCTCCTCCACTAGGCAGACTATTAGCTTGCCATGAACAGGAGTCATGTGGGCGAGTTGATCGTGGTCTATCCATGCTAAGCATAATGTCTTGTATCCAATAGTTACCCAAATCCTTTTGTTAGACAAATGCACAACTGTCTAATCTTCACAACAGCTTTATGAGGGAGGTACTATTATCACACCTGTTTTGCAGAACAGAGTCAAAGAGACTAAGTTTATTATGACATTTAGCTCTGTTCCTTCCCCTTGAGGGGTCTACAGAAGGAAAAAACCTGAGGGTCAGAAGGGAAAGCTGGGCCCAGCAAAACGGTTCACCAGTTCAGCCAGCACCCTGCACTCAGCCTTGCCCAGCTGAGCTCTCCCAGCCTCATCACACCCCAGCAGTTCCAAGTCATTAATCCACAGCCACAGAGCTGGAGGCCAGTCCAAACTGGCCTGTTTATTTTCCAAGCCAAGTGAGACTCAGCCCTTCCCTGCCCACCCCAGAGCAATATACAGCTGAGAGTCCACGCCCTACCCCTCAAGCCTTAACACAGGAGATAAATTAATGATCTCTTTTTATAAAACATTGTACAGGGAAAATACATACACATAGAGAGAGCTAGTGCTGGGGCTGGGATGAAATCTGCTTCTTGAACACAGATAACCAGACCCTACTCCATCAGGGTAGCTGGCCTTGGTCATCTGGGCACCCGCCCACCCCTGCACTGTCTTCCCTAACATGGCTCACCTGCTGTCCTGACAACGCAGTGCCTCTGCTGGACCATAATCAAGGTCCAACATCTTCCCCCAAAGGGAGTTACTCTCTGGCTGGCCCCCACTGGCCTACTCCTCTGAACTGGGCCACTCTCCTGTCCTTTCTTTTTACTGAGGCAGCCTACCTTGTCCTGGTCCCAGGAATTTGGCCCACCAGAACCTGAAGACAGGGAAAAGACCAAGGAATATTGTTTCCTGATATGTTTGGCGATCATATATCAGCCACACCGGGACTTTTTTTGAAAAGTGGAAGGGGACTAATTCACTGGAAAATAGGCATAAACCTGGGCTGCCCAGGCGAAGGACACATGATCACCCTACCGACAGGTCTCCCCTGCTCTTTTTTTTTTGTGTGTGACACTCATGCTCTGTCGCCCAGGCTGGAGTGCAGTGGCACCATCTCCGCTCACTGCACCTCCACCTCCCGGGTTCGAGCAATTCTCCTGCCTTGGCCTCCCCAGTAGCTGGGACTACAGGTGCACACCACCACACCCAGCTAATTTTTGTATTTTTAGTAGAGACAGAGTTTCACCATGTTGGCCAGGATGGTCTCAATCTCTTGACCTTGTGATCCACCTGCCTCAGCCTCCCAAAGTGCTGGGATTACAAGCCTGAGCTACTGGTCCCGGCCTAATCCTAGCACCCTTTTTTACTTTAATTCGTTTTTAGTAGAGATGGGGTTTCACCATTTGGCCAGGATGGTCTTGAACTCCTGACCTCAAGTGATCCACCAGCCTTGGCCTCCCAAAGTACTAGGATTACAGGTGTGAGCCACTGTCCCCAGCCAACCAATCCTACCACTCTTGACTTTTCCAAACACATTCCCCATCAGCAGCAAGCTTCTTCAGACTTCTGTTCCCATCTTGGCTGCCTCCACTCTCCAAGGCTTTCTAGCATCTTAAAGCATCAATAGTATTGGCGACTTGTAGTATCAGTGTTAGGAAAAATGCCCCCTCCAAATCCCATGACACCCATCCAGGTAAGACCCCTAGAGTCAAGCCTAAGACTCATGGCTCCTTGGGCCCAATCTCCAAAATCAGTCCTGCACAGGTCTGAATAGCAAAGCAAGGCTCAACCCTGTTTCCCATCCTAAACTTCCCAAGTCTCCTCTTTCTAGGCCTCCCTATAGCTAAGAGCCAGGGCCAAGGGGAAACGAACCATCCATCTCCCACCTCTGCCCTGGGCCGATGCAAAGGGCTTCCATTCCACACGAGGGAGCTTCTCTCCCCACCACACACATGGTACTTCTCCGCATGTTATACATACACATTCCTGGTCCCATCTCAATGTGGCTGGGCACCCCAGGTTGCACCTGTTGCTTGGGATGGCAGGTGATGGAGGCTAAAGATCTCCCTGTGGTGCCCTCCATGCCCACTAGGACAGGGCTGAGCCTGACAGGCAATCTCAGCTATCTCCATGGTTCCAGTTCGCAGTCAGGGCCCCACCCCTTGCTTTCAGAACCTGCTCAGTAGGCCGTGCTTGTAAAACTTCTAAATAACTCTTGCTAAAGCAGATAGTACCAGAGGGCAGAAACTCAGCGCCTAGGTCCTGAACGGTTCCTCCTCTCTACCCTCCTACCCCTCCCACCCCCCAAGTGTAGCAGTCCACAGCCGCGCCAGCACTTTGGGAAACAGAAGCCCACTCTGGATGTTCCTGGGCCACGGCTTCTCGTCGTCGGTCTTTGGGGATCAACGACTCCTCTGTGTCTGAGTCAGGTCGCCTAACACCTGCTGTGTACTTCCCACCCCCCCGCACCAAGAAACAAGTGCTCAGATCCCTAATGACACTTAAAGACACAGTTTGTTGGAGCAGAGCTGAGAGAACCCCTGGCTCAGGAGGCGGCTTTCCGATGGGCCCCTGAGCAGGCATAGGAGATGGGATGGCGGGTCCCAGGCCTCACGGTGAACGTGTTGATGGGGCTTCCGTAGCGGGTGGTGGTGTGGGAAGATCTGGGGGAGAGCAAGAGATGTGAGGTTAGTATCTGCAGCTGGTTAGCCAACACGCCTCCCCTCTCCCCCAGGGACCGAGAGGAAAGGATGCCGCTTGGACTCCTCTATGCGCCCCCACAAGGCCTGGGCTTACCGACCCCGGGGAGGGGCCGCAGACCATCACAAACGGGCTCCCCTTCCGGTCTGGGATCTGCTGGCGGAAGAAAGTGTCCAACACGCTTTCACTCGGAACCCTTTCACTCCTGGGCTGTGTCTGGATCTAACTGTGTGTTGGAAAATCCCTCCGCCCAAGGACCACTCAGGTCTCTCCCGGCCCCACACCTAGACTGAGCGCTGGGATCTAGCGGGTGGGAAAGAGACCAGAGGAGCTGGTGGGGGGAGACGACGAGGGAGGCGCCAACAGCGCCCTCGCCCGGTAAGTAGGCCTCCCTCCTCCGTTCCACCTGCAAGGCCGAAGGGAGAAAACCAAATGTTTTCTCTTGACCGATGGCCGCGCTTTCAAGGCCCTCGCCTGGGTACCGCCCCGCCTCGTGGCTCCCCGCACCAGCCCGGCCCCCAGCTCACCTGCCGGCAGCTGGGGCGAAGCCGTAGTCGGCGCCACTCGGCGCTTTGTGCTTGGCCTCCGCGGCGCCCCGGGAGGGGCCCTCCAGGGACAGCTTCCGCGCGTGCAGGCCTCCGGGGGGCGCGCGGCCCGCTGAGTTCACGCGCCGCATCTCGGGGCCTCCGGGCTGTGGCCCGAAGCAGTTGGGGGAACTCAGGCTGCGGGCGGTGCCGCCGCGGGACAACCCTGTGTCGCGATGCGGCTCCCCGACGTACAGGCGCTTCTTGATGAGCGAGCGGCCGGCTCCGGAGAAGCGGTCCAGGCCGCCCGCGCCGGTGTAGCGCGCGCCCGCGGGAAAGCGCGAGAAGCCGCGAGCCGGGGGCGCAGCGGGGCCGGCGTCCGGGGGCTGTCCCAGGTCTGAGAAGGTGTTCCAGGGAGGGCAGCCCCGGCGGCTCAGATACTGGAGGGTCGGCGCCGGGGGCTCAGCGTCATTGCTGAACTCTGGCGGCGGTGGGATGACCTCGAAGCTGAACTCTTTCTCCTCCTCCTCCTCCTCCCTCTTGTACGATGGAGAAGGTGGGGAGGAGAAAGACTTGGGCAGCGGGCGGCCCTGGGGGAGGTTGGAGGGAGCTGCTTTTTCCCAGGCCACAGGGGCCTGGGGCTCCGTCTTTGTCCAGTTGTGTCTGAGGCTTGGCTGTGTGCCCTCTGTGTCTCCTCCCGGCTGTGGCCCCCACGTATTGGGTATTTCGGTCGTCAGCGGGGAGCCCTTCGCAGCCTCCTTCGGTAACTTAGGTACCACAGTGAAGGAGTTGGGCCTGCCCTGGTTGTGGAAGCTGCTGTCAGAGCCGGCCTCGGCTTGGTGGCTGTGGTCACGGAGACTCCCTGGTAGAGAGGACCGGCCCAGGGCAGCCCCTCCAGACCTCCCCCTCTGCACCCTCTGCCTGGCTGCCAGGAGCAGGGCCATCGGCGAGCCCCGCTCCACTACCTCCCCAGTCACCGGGTGCCTGAGGAGTTCATCAGTGGGCTGGGCTGGGGCAGGGGGCTTGGCTGGCAATCCCAGGGGCTCCTTCACCTCCACGGGCTCCTCTGGCCCTGCAGCCTCTCCTCTGGTCAGGGTAGGCATCACCACACCAACCTCACGACTGGGGCTGCTCTGGCGGCAGTGGGGCTTGTAGAGACATGGCACCTCTCCTCTACCAAGAGATGCCTTTGGTGGGAGGGCTGGAGATGAGCGGGCTCCCTGTGTGGGCAGCCTGGTGGCCTCTGAGGGGTACCCCTCTGCCCTTGGCTGGGAGGGAATGGAAACTTCTTGAGATGCTAGTTTCTCTGGCTTCCCAGCTGGGCCTTCATCCTTCTCTGCCATCAGTTGGGATGTGGTGGTTGGCAGAGTTGTGGCTGTAGATGGTATGGCAGGACCAGATGTGGCCTTGGGTGGTGTGACTGGCCCAGGTATGGACTTGGGTGCTGTGGCTGCTGGACCAGGTGTGGTTTTGGGTGCTGTGGCTGGCCCAGGTGTGGTCTTGGGTGGTGTGGCTGGTCCCAACGTGGCCTTGGGCTGGAGTGATGTGGTTGGCAGCAGGGTGGTGGATTGAGGTCGCAGATTCTTGGCCACAGGCTTGGAGATTTTGTCATCATCAGCCCCGTTTTCAAAGATTCTTCCCACTTCCAGCCGAGGCTTAGGGGGCAGAGACCCTATGCTGGCCTTAGCCTCCTTCTCTGCTGATGAAGACAGCCGGGCCTCCAGCTCATTCCGGATCTGCCGCACACTGGGCATGGGAGAGTCTTGGGGAATGTAGTCCACAGGGGGCAGGGTCAGGCCGGAGGGAGCCTCTGTCTCGGTTAGGCTGCTGTCACCGAGACTCTTTTCAGGAACACCTGGGGCAGTGTCCTTTGCTGGCAGGCTCAGGCCCTTCTTGCCCTCCTTGCTCTGAGAGGCCACTGTTGGGCTTGGCCTGTTACTGAGGAATCGGTCTTCCCTCCTGGAGCCACAGAGATAGGCCGCCAGCTCGCTCCGCAGCTTTTCCATCTGGCTGGGGTCCCTCCAGTCCACAGGTGCTGAAGACGCTGTGTCCTCTGGGCTGGGGGGCGTGGGTTTGGGTTTGAGAGCAGGAGAGCTGGATTTGGTTTTTTTTGTAAACCCAGCAGGTGGAGGGGCTGCCTTCTCAGCAGAGGGCAAAGGAGGTGCAGCTGGGGGAAGTGGGGGTGCTGGGGGAGGGAGAGGGGGTGCAGGAGGGGGCAGGGGAGGAGGTGGAGGCGGAGTCCTAGCTCGTTCATCTGCCTGGTACTGGGACTGGCCAAGCCTTGGGCTGGCTGGTGCTGTGGCCCCGAGCTCCCCAGGGCAGTCTGGCTCCGGTGCCCTGTCTGGGTAGACCTGGGAAGCGGGGCGGATATGGAAGCTGGGAGGCAGTGAGAGTCGGCTGGGAGCCTTCTTGGTGGCCCCCTCTTCCTTTTGGGGAGCCTCTTGTGCTTCCTGAACTGGGATGGATGAAGTCCTGACTGGGGTTGGGGGAGGCACTTTGAAAGAACGGGGGAAGGTGAGGTGGGGCTCTGGGGTGGGTCCCACGGCGCTCCCCTTTGGCTCAGCGGGGCTTCTCGGGGGACTAGCTCTGGTGGCCTCTGCCTGCCTGCCATTTAGTGCTACATCTGATTTCCACTTGGTGACACCCCCAGGGGGAAAGAGCCGAGTCCCCACTGTGTGAGGAGATGCTGGAGCAGGAGGTGCTGGGGCTGGCAGAGGAGGCGGTGGGGGGACGAGAAAGGCTAAGGGTGGGGCAGGGGGAATGAAGTCAGGAGGGGTAGGTGTGGGTGGGGAGGAAAGAGCGTGTGGTGGGGATAGGGCCTCCAATACTGGGGGTGGAGGTGGGGCCGTGCTGGGTGGGGGCGGGGGTTCCAGCAGCAGAGGAGGCGGTGGGGGTGCTGTGGAAGGTGGCGGTGGCGGTGGCAGTGGCGACTCCCCTGGAGGTTGTGAAATGTCCTGAGGAGGCCCCGGGGCTGGGCCTGGGGGAGGTGGGGGGATGAGCAGATCCTGGCCATACTGCCCAGGCCTCAGGTCACCCACAGAGCTGTACAGTCGGAGGTTGCCATTGACCAGTGAGCTGGTACCTGAAAGAAGGAGAGGCAAAGATGGGGGAGGGAACAAGGCAGACCAGCCCTGCCAATCTCTTGTTTACCCAGGGCAGGGGCAGGGTTGGCCACCCAAAAGAATGACTGGCCCATTTTCTCCTGAACACCAAGAGAGGGAGCAGCCTCTCGTCCAGTCTCCTGAGCTGTCCTGGCAGTGTTCCCCTTCTTTTTAGGGAGGGTGCTCCGCCTGTGCCTGGCACAGCCTTTGAAGCCTGTATGGAATGACCTCCATTTGCCTCCCCAGAGTCACCCTCTACCCTGCGCCAGGGCACTGATTCCTCTGGCTGCCTCCTGGCTGCGTCACAGGTTGGCAGCAGCTGCCTTTCCTGCCCCGCAGACACGGGTCCGGTCGAGTGCCCCTCTCCCTGGGTGTCACTGTCCCCGGGAGACAAGAGTCGCCTAACCAAGCTCACACTCTGGTGTATCATCTCTGTGCTCAGCTCTCTTCAGTTGTCCCCTCTGAGTGTGCTGTCTGGTTCTTGCTGGGACCTTGATCTTGGCAAAGCCAGAAAGTCCAGGGTTCGAATCCCAGCTCTACTGCTTACTAGATGAGTAACCTCGGACACACGAATGAACCTTGCTAAGCCTCAGTTTCATCATCTATCAAAGGGGCATGGTGTCAACGCTCACTTCTTACAGCTGTTGTGAGGATTAAATGAGAGAATTTGTGCCAATACACAGAATGGGTTTATCACGGTGCCAGGCCTCTAGTAGGCAGTTAATAAATGGGAACCACTTTGACTCCTACCATGTGTGCTTAACTTTTCAGACTGTGTAAGACAGGGAAAGCGGGAGAGATAGGAAGTCATGGGGCAGGGGCCAGATACCTCCTCAGTGAGGAAAGCTGGGTGAGAGACCTGTAGGAGGGAGCAATTTGCACAAACAACTCCTGTTTTTTTTCTTTGGTTTTTTGTTTGTTTGTTTGTTTGTTTGTTTGTTTTTGAGATAGTCTCACTCTGTTGCCCAGGCTGGAGTGCAGTGATCTTGGCTCACTTCATCCTCCGCCTGGGTTCAAGCAATTATCCTCTCCTGCCTCAGTCTCCTGAGTAGCTGGGACTAGCAGGCATGTGCCACCGTGTCTGGCTAAATTTTGTATTTTTAGTAGAAGTGGGGTTTCACCATGTAGATCAGTCTGGTCTCGAACTCCTGACCTCGTGATCCGCCTGCCTCAGCCTCCCAAAGCTCTAGGATTACAGGTGTTAGCCACTGCACCTGGCGTCCTGCTTTCTAAAGACCTTGAAGCTACTAAGAACCCAGCTGTTCACCTCATAGATAACGTAGGCAGATTCTGAACTGCACGATAGAATAGGGGTGTGCAGAAGGAAGGTGGCCTGGACAATCTGGGTGCTAAAGAGATGCTGAGAGCCGCTGGCCCCAGCAGCTCACATCCCTCTGCTGTCCTTGGACCTGGTCCCCAGCCCCTCTCCCAGAGTCTACTTCCTTCTTAGGGATACCCATCCTTTGCTCCTCTCCTCTCAGTCCCTAACAGTGTGGCAAACCTGGAGACTATGAAGCTCTGAAGGGCTCTTCCCAGCTGCCTGACTTCAAAATGAAGAAAACAAGAGCGGGAAAGGGGAAATCTAACATTCACTGAGCACCCAACTGTCAGGCAGGAGTTAGGAGCTGGGGTACAGCAGCAAAGAAACCCAACAAAACAAAAAGCAGACAAACACCAGTTCTCCTAGGGAGCTTACACTTGAATGGGACAATGAACATGATGTGTGAGTACATTATTACCACATTAGGGGATTAGTTGCAATGGGAAAAAAATGCCAGCAGGGGAGGGGTGCAGCAGGTGTAATTTAAATAGGGCAGTCCGAGAAAGCCTCGCAGAGAAGGTGACATTTGAGCAAAGAAGGCAGGGCCAGGTGCGGTGGCTCGTGCCTGTAATCCCAGCACTTTGGGAGTCCAAGGCAAGTGGATCATGAAGTCAGGAGTTCAAGACCAGCCTGGCCAAAATGGTGAAACCCCGTCTCTACTACAAATACAAAAAAATTGGCCAGGCGTGGTGGCGGGTGCCTGTAATTCCAGCTACTCTGGAAGCTGAGGCAGACAATTGCCTGAACCTGGGAAGTAGAGTTTGCACTGAGCGGAGGCGGCGCCACTGACCTCCACCCTGGATGACAGAGTGAGACTCAGTCAAAAAAAAAAAAAAAAAAAAAAAAAAAAAAGAGGAAGGAGGGAGATGCCACACAGATGCCTCGAAGAGGTAAACTAAGAGGTCTGCAGTGCAAAGACCCCAAGGCAGAAATGTGCCTAGGGTTTTTCCGGAGCAACAGGAGACGCTTTAGCAGGGGCAGTGTGGGAGGGGGAAGAAAGCAGGCAAAGTGGCCAGACTCCGATCAGACTCCAGCAGTCCTTGTAAGAACCTTTTCTCCAAGTGACATGGAAGTCATTGGCAAGTTCTGAGCACCTCTGAGAGGTGTGACAGACATGACTTACATCCCATCCACCACTTCATTTACTCCTCCAAACTGAACTGTTGTTCTCATTGTTCATTGGAAGATACAGAGGTAGGAGAGGTGAAGCATCTTGCCCAAGGGAGCAAAGCAAATATGTGGTGAGCTGGGATTCAAAGCCAGGCCTTTCTCCCACTTGGTGCTGCAGTTGTTCCTACTCTGGCCTTGTCCCCTTGCCACCCTTTCCCCACCAGAAGGGGGCCTTTGCTGACCCTGGCTGTCCTCAACTCCCAGCTCCACTGCCTGTGCCCACTGCAGCCAGTAATTAAGAGGCCTGAGGATGGCGAGAGTGGCTGGGCCTGGGGGACTCTGGCTTTGTCACCAGCTGTGAGGAGGGGCAGATGCTTGGCTTTTGAACTCAGGGCCCTAGGAGAAAAGAAAGATGGACAAGCCCTTATCCCAGGGTTCAGTTACCTGTCACTTCTTTGTCTGCAAAGTCTTCTGGAACTGAGGGGGTGGGCACAGCCAGCCCATGGTTTTCCTGGGCATTCTGAAAGAGACCAGAAAGAAATCAGGGGACAGAGAAAGACAAGTAATTCTCAAACTGATGCCTCTGTGAGGCCATTTTACTGCTTGAAAATCTGCAGTGACAGTCATGGTTGCACAACTTTGTGCATATGCCAAAATATAAAAGGGTGATTTTAAAAAGTGAATCTTGTGATCGGTCAGTCCTCATTATTTGTCATAGTTATGTTCCATAAAGTTGCAATGAACATGGTATTAGTAAATACTGACCCATTGCTCCTAGGAGAAATACAGGGTTAGGTACTTATGAGCCCCTGGTCACAAGATTTTTGTCAACTGATCAGTATATAACCATAATCTCGTTTTAGCTGTTTCTGCTTAAACACACTTTAATGTATTTTGTTGGTTGGTTAACGTTGAACTCATGGCCGATAGCACTAGAACACATGACGCTAAACAGAAAAAGACACCTGTTTATGTATGATAGCTAAAATAAGAAGGCAAAGGATTCTCTTGTCCAGCTGGGAATGTGTGCATTGAGCAACTCAAAATGTTCAGTACTCTGTGCATGTCAGCAAATGACCACAAAAGCGACACAAACATTGATTCTGGGGTTACAAACAAATCTTAGCCACTAAGCAAATTTGCAGATACAGAATCCACACATAGGGAGGATTGACTGTATATGAATTCCATCTCAATGAGAAAACAAATGGAATCTGCAGTGAATCCCTATGGAGGTCCACAGGTGAAAAACCAAACTCCTCAGCCTGGCCTCCTGTGTATTCTTAGTTTTCATTAGGCATTTATAGAAAAATAAAAAGCGATGAACTTATTTTTTTTTTTCTTTTTTGAGACAAGGTTTTACTCTGTCATCCAAGCTGGAGGGCAGTGGTGTAATCATGGCTCACTGCAGCCTGGAGCTCCCTGGCTCAAGCAATCTACCCATCTGTCGCTGGGACTACAGATGCATCTCACCATTCCTGGCTAATTTTTTGTATATGTTTTAGAGAATGGTTTCATCACATCTCCCAGGCTGGTCTTGAACTCCCGGGCTCAAGTGATCCGCCCACTTCGGCTTCCCAAAGTGCAGGGATTACAGGTATGAGCCACTGTGCCCAGCCTCAACTTGAATATTTATAGCTCTGCAGACGCCCTTCTGATCACTAAGCTTTAACAGACTATAATATGTTTACACAGCTGTCAGTTTGTCCATACTATTCTGCATTCTATTTTTTTTTTCCCAAACACACATTTCCATATGTCAACAAAGTCCACACAACTGCCGCTTTGAAGAGCTGTAGAGCATTTTAGGGTAGTTTTCAAGGTCCTCAACGACCTGGCCTCATGCTTTCCAGCCAGCTGTTATTTCCCACTCACCTATTACACCCATCCCACATGGTAGCTCCACCAACTCCTTCCCTGCCACCTTTTCAACCGCCACGTATAGTCCATGTTCATTCGTGATGCTAGGCGTTGGTCAGCTGTACCTGTCTTTCCGACTCTCCATTTATAACAATCATCATCATCATCATTGTACTCCTTGCACTGTTCTCTAACTAAACACATTATCTCAGTCACACCACTCTGTATAGAAAAGGATATCATCATTTACCAGATGAGGAAATTGCAGCTCAGAGACCTTTGGTAAGCTGTCTAAAGTCACACAGCCAGTACTACCAAACCCAGATCTGTGGAACTCCCACTCCTTAGTATTTTGCCTCCCTAAAATCCCTCATCCTTCGAGGATTAGCCTCTCTAGAATGATGAAACAGGGGTAGGGGTTAAGAGCACTGGCTCTGGCTTTCTAACCTGCCTGGATTTGAATCTCAGCTCTGGTACCTGTTAGGTGTATGACTGTGCAAGTTACCTAATCTCCCTTTGTCTCAGTTTCCCCATCTGTGAAATGGTGATAAAAATAGAATTACCCAGGCCGGGAACAGTGTCTCACACCTACAATCCCAGCACTTTGGGAGGCCGAGGTGGGTGGATCACGAGGTCAAGAGATGGAGACCATCCTGGTCAACATGGTGAAATCCCGTCTCTACTAAAAATACAAAAAAAAATTCGCTGAGCATGGTGGTGCACACCTGTAGTCCCAGCTACTCAGGAGGCTGAGGCAGGAGAATTGCTTGAACCCAGGAAGTGGAGGTTGCGGTGAGCTGAGATCGCGCCATTGCACTCAGCCTGGGTAACAAGAGCGAAACTCTGCCTCAAAAAAAAAAAAAAAAAAAAAAATTACCCATTGTAGGGCTAATTGTGAGGACTAAATGATGCAATGCATGAAGAGCACTTGGGAGCCATCCCCTGTCCACACCAGCTCACGGTGACCCACTGCTGCCCAGAGCAACCCACAGCCAAGCTCCCAAAAGAGGGGGGACTCTTGTTTGCCCTCCAGACTGCCCTCTAGTTCCTACAGTGAGAACTGGGAGCTCCTTGGAGCCCACGGACCATGTCTTATGGTATCGCCCAAAACTGGATGCATAGTAAGCCCAGTTGTTACTCAGTGATGGACTGATCATACTAATCCTCTGAACTTAATATACAGGAAGGGCACTCAAATCGATGTTACAGAAATATCTATGAGACCCTGGGTTACTAAGTGCCATCCCGGAATTACTCTGATCACTTGGGATCAGCAAACCACTCATCTTGTTCTTGAAGAATTCTGAAGCTGGAATGGCCTTGAGTCATCAACTCATCTCTTTTTTCCTGCCTTTACTTGATTTGCAGGGCCAACCACATACGTGTTCTCAACATTTCTCAAAGCCAGTGACTGGGAACCAGGGGCTGGTACAAGGACCCAGCCCATCAGAGGGGTGTCTCCTACGACTTCCTGAGATGTGTCACACACACATGCAACCCACTGATGGTCTCATAACCTCCATCAAGTACACACACTCTGATTTTGATGAGATGGAGGTCAGGCCTTCAAAAGCCAGCTGATTAACTTCAACATAATTGAAAAGTGGAAAGCCTAGGGATTTAGCATTAAAAGTCTTGGCGGCCGGGCGCGGTGGCTCAAGCCTGTAATCCCAGCACTTTGGGAGGCCGAGGCGGGTGGATTACGAGGTCAAGAGATCGAGACCATCCCGGTCAAATGGTGAAACCCCGTCTCTACTAAAAATACAAAAAATTAGCTGGGCATGGTGGCACATGCCTGTAATCCCAGCTACTCAGGAGGCTGAGGCAGGAGAATTGCCTGAACCCAGGAGGCGGAGGTTGCGGTGAGCCAAGATCGTGCCATTGCACTCCAGCCTGGGTAACAAGAGCGAAACTCCATCTCCAAAAAAAAAAAAAAAGTCTCGGCATGCACTCTCAGGCTTGCCAGCGGTGTGGCCCTACATGAGCAGTGGAGATGCGGGATGAGGACAGTGATGTTGAGTCATTGTCCATGCTTCTCCTGTGTGACAGCCCTATGCTAAGAGTGCAACCAGTGTTACCTCAAATCCCTTCACAGAGCCAGGGTGCAAACCTAGGCTTTCCACCTCACCTTTTCTACAGATCACTGAGACCCATTTTCTTCATTTAGAAAACTTAGGCAGCCGGGCATGGTGGCTCATAGCTGTAATCCCACCACTTTGGGAGACCAAGGCGGGCAGATCAGCTGAGGTCAGGAGTTCAAGACCAGTCTGGCCAACATGGCGAAATCCTGGCTCTACTAAAAATACAAAAATCAGCCAGGTGTGGTGGCAGGCGCCTGTAATCCCAGCTTCTCGGAAGGCCGAGGCAGGGAGAATTGCTTGAACCAGGGAGGCAGAGGTTGCAGTGAGCTGAGATCATACCACTGCACTCTAGCCTGGGCGATAAAGCAGGACGCTGTCTCAAAAGAAAAGAAAAAAAAAAAAAAAAAAAAGGAAACTGAGCCAATAGTTCCTACTTTGCAGATCTATTATGAGGATCAAATGAGATAATATCCCTAACCCAGGAAACCAATGCTAGCTGGATTATATCTTGTAATCCTCTCTTACGGAAAAGTGAAAAGATTGTGAACAATCAAGGCTAAGCTCCCTGGAAGTCCAGTAGCACCTTCTGGGTTACCCTGAGTGCTTAATGATGTGTGTGGGAGGAAGATGGATGGACTTAATGGACCTAAGGTAATATTACTCACCCTTTGATCTTTTTTTTTTCCTCCAGAGACAGAGTCTTGCTCTGTTACCCAGGCTGGAGTACAGTGGCACAATCTCAGCTCACTGCAACCTCCACCTCCTGGGTTCTAGCAATTCTCTTGCCTCGGCCTCCTGAGTAGCTGGGACTACAGGCACATGCCACCACGCCTGGCTAAAGTTTTTGTATTTTGTAGAGACGGGGCTTCACCATGTTGCCCAGGCTGGTGTCAAACTCCTGAACTCAGGCAACCCACCTGCCTTGGCCTCCCAAAGTGCTATGATTACAGGCGTGAGCCACCGCGCCCGGCCTGCTCTTTAATCTTAGAGCACTTGGAAAATGTATTAACTCCCAAAAACACAGGGCGAAAGCCCATCTCTGGAGCAGCCTGTAATAACAGCTCAGTGCAAGCCCTGGCTTCTTAGGTCCCTCTCCCGACACAAGGGGGTCCCACAACACCCCCACCATCTCACAGTGCTTGCAGTGCTGTGACTCACCATGGTCTGACCCTGGGACCAAGTCCCAAAGGCCAGCCTCATCCCTCCAGAAGCTTCCAGTATTGAACTGAACATATTCTCTCTGGATCTCCAAGCCCCTGTCTGGCCCTTTTCTTTCCCACTTGGGCCCACATGGGCTCCTGTGGGTTACTTAGTTGTCCCTTGCACTGATGTTTATTCAGGGAAGGAAAATGCAAATTCATTTTAATCTTAGTCCCAGAAAAACAGACTCAGAAGGTAAATTGCTTCCCGCCCAGGCAGCTGGCATCAAGTGCACTGGTGTGGATGGTGACATATTTCAGTGTGCAAATGCACAGCTGTGGACAGCGTTCATCTCCATGGGTGCTGAATTTCCTCACCTGCCTCTGTTCACCTCAGAGAACAGAGGAAAAGCCTCCTTAAGAAGGAGGCTTGAGGCAGG